AACAGGAACTCATAGAGACACAGCGCGAGACTGACCCAGCGTTTGAAGATTTCCGGTAATCTGTACGGGAAGTTATTTTGGCAGTCAATTTAACATTTTATTAAGCAATCTCGACAATCTTGCATCCTTCAATGTTTATAGAGAAGCTATTCATCACAATTTTCGTGATTTAAGTGGACAGATATTTCAGAATGATTCATTGGCTTTATTCCGTTTAATATCGCACATTGCGATGCAATATGTATAATACGCAATGTACACATAACCACTGTAAGAGCTATTTTTCTTGTCTTCAGGCAGTCGCTTGTCTTCGCTGCTCGATAGCGGCCGTTGTCTCGTTTTGGAAGAATTTCGTCAGATAAATGGACTCCATCAGGTTCACAACCAACTCTTCGCTGAAAAGGCAAGACATCAGTTTCCGGCGCCCACGAAAGGAAGAAAAGTGTAAGTAGGAATAGCAATAATTACCTTGATTTCTGTTGATCGTCGAATTTCGGGAGAAATTCCACGATTTCCGTGGCCACCAGTTTCGACAGGTCCAAAGTGAGCACTGTTCGAAGGAAGTCACTGGCCACGATACCGTTCTCAGCCGGGGTGCTAACAGCCGGGGCGTCGGCCACGTCGAAACCATCGATGTCAATGGACATTGCGAATCCATCGGTGTTCCTGCAAGAAGATTTACGATCTCTTATCATTGTCCAGGATTATTCTTCGCATTCACGAAAACCAATCGCTCGACTTGATACCTATATTTTAACAAACCCGGTAGCTCGATCCTCCATTACTACCTTAACGGATGTTATCAACCATGAAAGGCGTTGACTGTGCCTCGTCTATCCGCATAGCTGAAAAAGAGCAAACTACGAAAAAATGGAGGAAATCGACTTCTGACCTGCTTTACTACTTTACTCTAAAAAGAGACATTAGGATGAGGGTGAAAACATGTAAGGCTATGGATGCCTTAATAAAAAAGACCTACAAAAACAGTAATGCTACAAATTATTACATTACAAACAGATAGAGTCCTTTAGCGAAGTCTATAGCTTGCAATGGTCCATCTATACGAACCATGCATCATCCCAAGATTTTGAGCACTATTGAGTAAGAGCTCGCAGATCAGCTAAAAGTCATATTGTTAGCCAGCATAAGGGGAATGATATATGTATGTAGTAGTGCTCTATACCTCGAATATCATTCGCACTGCCGAATGATAGTGGAGGGGTACTCATCAGTTTCAAAGAAAAGCACAAGTTCACTGTGATTTCGAGAATTTCTGCACAGAATATCCTCAAAACAGCACCGCTGATAGCACCAGGCAAGAGGATTTTTGGCCCCGCAAGTCCCCTTGCTTAGGCAAAAAAAAAATTTTGACTGGCACTTCTTCAAATGGCTTCATCAAGTGTCTAATACAGAAACAAATCTGCGGAATAACCCCAATTTCTTTGAAAATCGCCTAAAGCTAAATATTAAACAGATACAATCGTACCGTTTGCAGCGGACATGGTAATATAAAGGTAACCTACAACTAAAAAACGATGGAACTACACTTGAATCCATGAAATGATTCAGAGGTTATCAAATGAGCTGAACAAACCTCAACTTTGGAAATGCAAAGGGTAATCATGTTTGAATTCAGAACAAAGAATTCCTAGTCATTGAAGCATTGTATGCTTCGCTAAGAATAGGCTCGAATCTGGGCGGGCTGTCTGTAGGGGCCAGATCAAATCGGAGATCGAACCGTAGCAGATCTACAGCGCAAATACTGCCAACCTTCAACCTTACTTGGTAGTAATGAACTGGATAAACTGTGGCGAAAAAACCCAAGAACTTCAACACCGACGGTAACTACCTGAAAAATATGTGGCGAAACGTTCATAACAGCGAACGTCTCGCAAGTTCACTGAATGTTGACAAAATATTATGACTGCAAGAAATATCATAGTGAAAAGGATGAAAAATTAGATGGAAGCAAAAAACATAGTGGAAAAGCTCTACAATAAACATGACTATGTCATAAAATATTTCACATTCACAGAGTGTGTTGGACAGCGGGGTAGTACGGAACCGCCATACCGCGAGCCGATCCTCGAAAACCCCTCTCCTCCACGCGCTTGCCCCCTCCTCTAACTAGAATCACCGTAGTCGCGAGAGCTACATCATGATGATTTATTTAATCGATCTCTCCTTCACTGAGTAGATTAACTCAAACTCTTACCCCACAGAGAACATTAATCATCTATCGCCAGTATTCTGCAGCATACACTTCCTCTAAATACTTTTATTCGAAGCCCTGAACGTCGTTCCGTTAGAGGGATCATTAGGCGACGAACAGACTTCGAAAAGTTTCACAAACACCTTTACCGCTTCAAACTATCTTCTTTCCAGATGCACCAAGCTAATGAGTGAGTGGTATGGGCGAACCTTTGTGGATCACTATCAAGGACGTTATGCCCTTGTGTATAGCAAAGACCATTACTACACGATGAAGTATTGCTTCCCAGTAATCGAAAGAACTGAAAGCTGGAGAACAATGATAGTAAAACTTGCTACACATTCAACACAAACCTCTCTGTCCTTCCTCAGGAATTAAAATTCTAACGCAAAAATCTCTAGGAGGCTACTTGATAACGCTATTTTCCGATTATGCTGTAGTGTTTTCAGGATATGTAGGAACTAAAAATGCGGTAGACATTAAAGGTAGGAAAGTCTGTGGCTCAAAACCCATCCACTTTTTAGCGCAAGCGGTCCACTCTCAAGACAATGGCACAAGGCTTTGTTCCGATTTACGGATCATGTTCCTTCTACTCTGAATGAGCTTTGATGGCCTTCCAAGGCAGCTAAGCGATTTGTACAGTGCGTTTCATAATTATAAGGTCACCCTAAAATTTTGCACTTTCAAGAAAAGCAATCATTAAGAATTTTTTCTAGCATCATGAACGGATTCCCCAGCACGAATAACCTAGGTATCCGTTTTCTAGCCGCAGCTGCACTTTTCTGAACTCTTTTAGAACAGTTTATCGGTTTTTGCACCGTTTCATAATTGTAAGGTCACCCCGAGAAAGTGAGCAATTATTCATGGAGGGGAGGAAATTTCGTGTTTGAAGATACTTGTAAAGGTAAGCATGTGTAGCAAAGGCATTTCTAAACCTGACTGTCAACATGGCTCGTGGTCAACTGCTTTCCTCTGATGAGAAGGCTCATCATGAAG